GAAAAAGAAATTAAAACCAAAATACATTTATATTGTGTATTAAAGTTACAGCTCCCCCATTTTAAACTGTAGAAGTTGGAGACACCATTCATTAATGGCTGTGTGTTCTGACCTGGTTCTTAGTGCTAATATTTCCACATCATTGGTTTCAAAGAGGACACCCTGGATCGTTTATCAGCAGGGGAAGATTAACAGAACTGGGTTTGTGTGGCGATGTTGCTGTTTTGCAGTGCAGTCCAATCCTTTTTGCTTGCAAAAATTCAAATTCTTCAAACATATTTGTTCTAATTCAGTAAGATTAATCTATGCCCATAACCACTATTGATATGGAGGCATCTTCAATGCAATGCTCACCTGAGCCCTCGCAAACTGTCTACATGCCTCTTGAAATATCAATAGATATATGCATCCACATGCACAGTATCTTATTATGGGGCTATAGATTACTTTGTATCTTACTGCCATCTGTTTACGTAAACATCACCTTTATAGCCACATGTGAATTGGCAATATAAATGCTAACTCAAGGTAAATTTAAGCTATGAGCTGGATCCAGACTTCCATTCAAGACTGTAGGAGGCCAGGATGACTTCACCCTGAAAAGCTCTTCCAGAGGACATGGAAGATGGGGAATGGTGAAAGTTGCCCCAACTCCTTTCAGCAAGAGCCTCCGCTGGATTCCATTCACAAAAAGGCAGCTCTCGATCCAACCTTATGAATTTTGCAGCCATTGCATGATTGTCAATGAGGCAATTTGGAGTGCCACACAGATTCTGCCACCCACACCCACCCCTTTCTTTAGTGTGAATTAAGAACCGGTAAGCCTCAAGTGACACTGTTTAGAAGCATGAATTGCCAATCCAGGGAAGGAAGTGATGTTTGCAAGCTTTACATAACACACCACACAGTTGCAAATCAACAAAATTTATATTATGGCATATATTTGTTTGCACCATAATAAATGTATTGGGCTTTAAAGGTGAAACAAGACTCTTTGCTGCTCTCGTTGCAACAGACTTAAGAGGGCTTCTGCGCTAGAAACAGTTTTAAATTTTAGTATTTTGCAGATCAAAGCAAAGTAATCCCACCAAACGGTGGCAGATCTGGGAGAGAACTGGCGTCAGGTTCTACAGCTGTAGGTAAGAGGAGGCAAAAGAAGCATAACCTGGGAAGATAATCAGCACTGTAATTCACTGTAACAAAATAATACAAATTGGTTTGGCAGCCTTTATCCAAATGTATAGATGCCTGCAGTGACTAGGAACTGTACACAAAGACTGGCACACTGGCACAAATGCGTGCGCACCCATAGATTCCAGTGCTCACCCACTATTTAAGAAAGCAGGACATTGCAGAACCTCATGAGAATCTCTGAGGGATGAAGAGCTCATTATTCCACCATGCTTACAACCTGCAAAGGCACCTTTTGATCTCTGTGGACAGAAACATGTGATCCTTCCCTCTGCTATTGGGACTTCCTGGCACTACAGTGGTGCTGTTGCAATGGCATCTGATTAGGGATGGTGCCATGCCTAGGTTAAGAAGAAGAATCTCATGGACAGATTCAGAACTCCACAAGGACATCCTTCTGCAAGGATGCCTTAAAACCCTATCTTTGCCAGTGGCAGCATTAAAAGCTAAGAGAGGCACAAATTTTATCTACCCTTAATCAGGAACAAATTTAATGTACCCTTTAGTGGGGATGTACATATTTGTTTTGTTTTTTTAAAAAAAAGAACAAACCAGTACCAAACCAGTACCAAAGCTATCTTTTCAGAGATGCTGCAGTGATTTTTTTTTCTGATTAAGCATAGGCACTATTGCATATGGTCCTGCAGGTCTGATCAATAAATAAACCCAGGTGTCACTTCATGGGGCTTAGGAGCACAACCCACAGGTGGTGATACCATGGTAGCAATGTGCAGAGTGAACAGGGCTGCAATTGTAGCTTTTTAGGTTTGATTAATCCAAGAAGGAAGCTTGCAGGGAAGCATGCTGAAGACCTTTAAAGAGTCCCTCCCACTTCTTTTCTTCACATTTCTAGAGCATTTTTAAGCAGCTGGTGATGGCTCTCCCTTTCCATCTCTGTAGTAAAGTTGGTGAGGAAGGAAAAAGAAGCAGAGCCAAGGCCCAAAGTGCATTAACATCAAGGTATTTACTCACCCCTACGACCAAAGTGGTTTAATTCTGTCTGTACATGAATGATCCTGGGATTACTCTGCTTGCAATGGCCCATTTGGGCAGGAACAACCTATTTCGAAGGCCTAGTTTCTGGGCTGTACCATTTGAGATTGAAAGGGGAAGATCACACAATGGAATGCTCCTCCGTACAAACAAACCAACAAAGGAGATGCCTTCAGTCATGCTAGTTTTCTACACAGCAGAATTCTTGTTTTGTTTTTGTATATGAGGAACATTCAGTTCTCATCTGCGGGCTGGAATGGCACAAAACAGAGAGACAGTTATTGCCGCCCAGCTAGACCTGAGGCCTAATCCTTGCTAGCTGAGAAACGAAGAATTCAAAGAACCCTACAGCCCATGGGAGGTCAGCATACAACACCCAAGAACCCTATGCTTTGTCTGCATTAGCCAAGCTGTTCTTTCAAGCTCAGAATTCCTTACAGGTGGCAAAGGCTGACAGGCAGCTGAGAACCTTAAAGCCAATACTGGTACTTAAGTCTTGCCTTGGTGGCCAGAATAGGAAGGGAGACATTATTGCCACAGAGGCTGCTGAAGCACAGGGACTGCCTTATTCCGTATGTTTGGAACTCCACCAGTGCTCTCTCTCTCTCTGTCTATTCCTACAAACACAAAAGTATAAATCGCTATTTGGCTATGCAGCCAAAATATTAAAATGATCATGGTAAGCAGGACTGATTCGGTCCAAGCTAAGCCAATGAAGAAGCTTGCACAAGAGATCTTCCTTGGCTAAATATTTTGCCCTCACAGGACAGTTTTTTGAGGCCTTTTGCTCCCTGAATCTGCAACTTGTATAAAGCCTGAGCCTTGCTCAACCATCTTCGTGGCTAGAATCTGTTTTCCCCCTATCAGCACCAAAAGGTCCGAGGACCACCATGGTGACTAAATGGAACACAACCAAGGCAAACATAAAAGCGTCAGGCCCACATTCATTGCTGTATTCTTTAGATGATGAGCTTGAACTGGGAGTTGTGCCAGTGTCTACATCCTTCCTGCTCCAACAACCTGAACAGGGAGTCAATACGTCCAAGACATTGGTATCTGGTGCAACAAATGAAACAGGCAGGCCCTTCAGGGATCAGTGCAAACACTAGGTAGCAAAGATAATATGGCTTATCCCTCTGGGATCAGCAAAGAAACCATAAATGTTTTTGGCAGCCGGACAATACTATATAGAACAGGAGATGCTGCTGCCTTTGGTGCATCTTTGGTCCTTAGGTTGGAATGGATTCACTTTCCCTCTAAACTCAAACATGCGCAATGCTCCCTCTATTAGCCAAGAGCGACGTTGCGGGGGTGGGGGGTGGGGAAGACGGCTCCCAGCCGAAAGCTGCTTCAACTCTCCTAATTGAGAAAGTAGATAAATTAATCTAAGATCAATACAGCATTCTGTAGGCCTTTGGGCAAATCTGCTTGTCCTGCCTGCTCTTCCCATCTAGCAGATTATCAGAGCATTAGAAAAACACAGGTACTTCCCATATGCCTTTGGCTGAAAAAAAGCCTTAAGATGTTAGGAATGTAGGAAACTGTCTTATACTGAGTCAGGCCACCTATCCCAGTGCTGTCTACTCGGATGGGCAGCGGCTCTCCAGACAGAGGACATTCCCAGTGATACTTGAGGGCACAATGGATGGAACCTGGGATCTTTTTGCATACAATGCTCGTGCCTTACCACTGGCATATGGACACAAATTGACCTTCCTGCTAAATATCTCTACATCTCTTCAGATTTAGGTTGCTGTGTCCACAAAAGAGAGATGGCAGTGCAAGGCAGGACGAGAACTGTATGCAAACCAACCCAGGGCTGCCGTTTTCTTCAGGTCTCAAAGCTGCGTTGAAGTTCTTGCTACAGTTTTCCACCATGAACCCAGTTTAACACCACTGTCTAGAAGTTGACTTACCTGCAGGGCTGGGCCTTCTAATTTCCATATGGTAAGGCTACTAGCTTAAATATCCCATGGTGCTGTCCTTCAAAAACAAAGTGTGTTTTATGCTCTGCCCTGCACTTAAGACAGAAGTGTGGCAACTCGCAAGTGTAGTTATTGTACTCCAATAATCTCCTAGTACCACTCCACTGTTCTATCAAGAACGGAAAACTATAAGGGAGCAAAAGACCGACCGCATTATCTAGATAATACAGGGCAATTAGTATTCGGTAATTTGTATGCTCAAAACCACACTCCCCTCACCAAAGAGACTTAAGCCACCAGCTATCCACATAATCAGGGATGTTCCAGTGCCAGAGTTGCTCCTTGTCCTCTCTGCTAGGTGGGCCAATGGCTGAAGGCCACCAATCTCGAAGTGTGAGGATGCTCGTGTGGTTCCCAAGAGCACCACTTCGTGCACCTTGCTGTCTTCCAAAGCAAGCACAGTGTATCTGGTCAACTCACATTGTCAGGCTCTGGTATCATCCAAGCACGGTATTCAAAGGTCCAATTTAAGGAAGAAGATCCCAAAGCGAGTAAAAGCAAAGCTTGCTTTGTGCTGCTATTCATGGTGGCCTTGGGGAGAAACCCAAGAACGAAGCTTGCTTTGCGCTCGAAGAGAACGACACAGAGAGACGATGGAACATGCAGCAGACAAAACTACTTTGAAGAATGCGAAAGGAACAGCTGTGTCTTTAAACCTTCCCCCCTCTGGATGCTCTGGAGTTCATCCAGAATCCCTCTACAGCCATCAAAGAAAGGGTATTGCAGCTTAGAAAACAGAACGGAACAGAAACCAAACGTTGCCTAACTGAGGTATTGATAGCTCTGGATCACTTTGAATGTTCAGAAGGTGATGCTGGGGTATGGAGCTGCCTATTTGTTTTTCCCAAGAGCTGCATCCACCTCCTCTTCAGGCTTCAGGGAATGCCACTGGGCAATGGGACGGCGTGGGTTGGCCAGCATGTCAGACCAGTGCCTTAGCTCCGTGCCAGTGGATTTGTTGCCGACAAATACTTTGCCAATGGCTTCGTTCTTCCCCAGCTTGTCATAATCCAGCACAGTAATCACAACTTGCACTTTCTGGATGGGAGGCAAGAAAAGAGAAATTAGTATTACGGTATACTACTTCCGCTTGAAGTTCAGTAGGTCCTAAGTTGGTCTTTTTTTTTTTAAAGGCTGGAAATGATCGTTGCTGGTTTGTTCCCACATGTCAGGTTTTAGGAGCAATGGGATTGTTCTGGGATTAATGGGCAAGGAGCAGAGGATCACAACAGGGTGACAATCTCATTGGGGAAGAAATCCTGATCAGAAATAGCATGTATTTTTGGTTCAACAAGAGCTTGCTGCAAAGATGAGATGATGCACACAAAATTTGATGCATGTGATTTGTATGTGACTAGGGCTGCAATGTTTAAATCACTGGATTGCTCAGATTGAATTTTTACAGTGCAATCTTATGCTTGCCTTCTCAGAAGGAAGCCCCATTGAGTTCAATGAAACTTGTTCCCAGGCAAGTGCTTATAGGACCGAAGCCTTAATCCACTCAAAAGAATTGTTTGTAACTGGAAATTAAAAAGTTAAAAAACTCTCTTATATGAGGAAAAGCCTCTAAAAAAGTATCTGCTACCACATGTGCCTGCATTATGTAAAAACAAAACAAGAAAGTACACTGTCAGATTTTAACTGATAAATTTGATGGAAGCATGTACAATGCATCAGCTGAGGCTGCAATCCTATATACACTCATGTGGGGCCAACTCCATGAGGCTTACATCCAAGCAGGCATACATAGCATTGCACTGTGAGCTACATCTGCAGTTTGAGGTGACCCAGACCAGGTTAAAAGCTTTAACAATGGATTCTGCAGAACTCTCCCTGGATGCAGCTACAGCGAGCTAGTTACTATGCATCATTTACACAAATGATTATATGTTAATAGGACTCTACATCGTTTTATGGATAAGTACACAGAAATTATGGGATTTGGACAAGGCTCGGATGGCTTGAGATGGTTCATCCCTCCCCCCTTTGTAAAATCCCTAAACTCATTACTAGGCATTAACATCAAAGCATGCTATTTTAAATAGTTCACGTGGGTAATGCTATCATAGAACGGCTATGTAATCTAATTCTGCTGTGTGTCTTAATGCTTTACTATCATTAGATTTGAAAGGGGGCCCTATGGATCAGGAATGGCCGACTTCTGTATTCACAAGAGCTATCCTATTCCCCTATCCCTGGTTCAGCCACTGCACTGTCGTCGTCCGTCCGTCCCCCAACTACAATCCCTTCCACAAGTGGTTGGGCACCACAAGGCCACAAGAGCTCCACCAAAGCAGTGGTGTACGGGCAACACAGCAAAAGATATTAAATCCAAAATCTCTCAGTGTCAGAACATCTTTAAAATCATATCTTGACTGAAATGTGGCTTGCAGGAAGACACAAAAACCGCTTGTGGGTTCAGTATGGTTCAGATGGCACCAGCTAAACAATCATCACCTAAACTGATGATAGAAGAAACGGAATCGGAATCAGGTAGGGATGTGGCACAGGACTACAAGGACTGCCTGTCTCCATATAAACCCACTCAGACCCTGCAATCACCATCTGAGGCCCTTCCTCGTGTGCCTCCTCCATGAGAGGTCCAGAGGGTGACAACACAAGAGCAGGCCTTTTCTGCAGTGGCTCCCCATCTGTGGAATGCTTTTCTCAGAGAGTTTCGCCTGGTTCCTTCATTACACACCTTTAGGCACCAGGCAAAAATGTTCCTTTTTAACCAGGCCTTTAACTGACATCCAATACCCTTTTGAATATGTTGTGGGATTATTGGTTTGCTTTTGTTCTTTTTATTATATGTTTTGTTCTTTTTTAATGTTGTTAACCACCCTGAGATCTATGGAGGACTTAATTTTGACACAAACAAGAGGGCAGCTGTAGCTCATGCTTCCTTCTCCTTTATTCCATATAGTGTCTGGACCGAATGCGCAAAATGTGCACAACCTAGCTCTGGTTGGAGACACTGAAACTGCACTCTGGCAGGCTTCTGGTTGTTCTTTACAACATTTGTGTCCTGTGATGGGAAACAATGAACTGAGTGCTGGTGCAGCAATTACGAGTGTTGGATGAGGGTGAGGGAGACTTGGGTTCAAATCCTCATTCATCCATGAAGCTCACACTGTGTCCTTGGGTGGGTTGCTATATCTCAGCCTCACTTACCACAAAGTGTTGCTGTGGGGATAAAAGGGGGAGGGGGAGGGGGAATCATGCATGATGCCTTTATCTCCTCAGACGAAAAGGGGAGATATAAATGTAGTAAATAAATAAAATAAATGCAGTACAAAACATGTCCCTCATCAGAGAATGGTTGGACCAGGCAGGCCTGGACTTGTTTAAAAAATGCCTAACTTAAATCAAATCTTTTACAGGATTCACCCTGTACAAAACCCACCAGGCTTTTTAAAGCTTATCCCTTGAGAACATTCCCCTTCCATTGCCAACAGGGAGGAAATGAGGCTAGACTATTTGGCCCATGCACTTTGAGAGGCCAACATAAGATCCCATGGTACAGGTAAAATGGCAGAGGACTTTGTCAGCCCATGGATGAGCTCAGTGACCTGGGAGCCCTTTGCATGGCCCTCCCCCAAACTCCCTCAAGTGAGAAGCAGGTGAACCTGTATCTGCTCAAAGGGGATTTCAAAGCTGAATGACTCGTTGAAATAGGGGTTCAGAGTCTTCTTCTTGACGGTGGTCTTCTTCTTCTTGAGCCTCTTGCCATTCTGCAGCAGGTGGATCTTCACATAGGGATCTGAAAAGCAAGGCTAAGCAGTTCAGACTTTGCAGGCAGCTAACACACACTGAAAGGAAACCTCAAGGGGAAACAGCTAGGATTTAGCCATGGTGCACAGAGGAACAGGACAGAGATGCCATTAACTTTTTGCTCCATAATCTGGAATCGTTGGTCGTTTAGAGCCACTTATGTAGGATGCATTTCTGTGGATCCTCCTCCTCTTCCCAGAGAGTCTTTATCTCTTTGTAAAAGCTCAAGATACCCACCAACTTGGGATAAGAGGATTAGACAAATGCATGGAGCACAAGGCTACTAGCAATGATGGCCGTGCTCTCCTTCCACCGTGTGGAATCACAAGTGGGGAAAGTGCTTCCCTCAGCTCAGGGGATGCTTGTGGGCTTCTCATAGCCATCTAGTTTGCCACTGTGAGAACAGGATGTTGGACTAGATGAGCCTTTGGCCTGACCCAGCAGGTTTTCCTCACGTCCTGGGGCAGCATAAGGCTGGTTCACGCTTCTCTAGTGGAATGGCTGACATCTCAAGATTGAAATGGCCACAGTCCCTTGCAGGAAGCTGAAGGAAGCAACTTTCCATACAGTTGCAGGTATTTCAACTACACCAGTACAACTCTCCCTTTTGGGGCAGGTGGGTCAAGAAGCCATAGATATAAATGGTCGCAGCCATATGGGAAGCTGCCCAATGCTCACAACACAAGTTTCATTTTCAAGTAGCATCCATGCAGCTGGTGTCACTCAGACTTAAGCAATGTGAGGCCAAGGACAGCTTCCCCCCCAAAAAAAGAACTATGAGACCTTAGGGTGAAGGGCAGGTAAAAAAAACACCAAATCAAAATAAAGTAATTAAGAAGAATAATATAGAGTAAGAGGAAGAAGCAGCATTTTGGCAGGTGTGGGTTATACATTCATATTACAAAGCAATGAAAGTAAGAACTACTTTATGCCTCATTGTGCAAAAATGCCCAGAAAATCCTTCAGTCCTGGCTCTGAGGTGCCATCTGGTGGGCATGAAGTTGTTCTGCACTCACCTGAAAGTCCTCCGACATCCATCTTTTTCAAGTTCTTGGCCTCCAGGATGCAGACAGTGAGTTTCCCGGCAGTGGGCACATATCGTAATGAGATACAGATGTCTCCCAGTTTCTCTGGCTGTCAAGGGAAACAGGGAGAGCAATGAAATCTGGAGTTCTACTCAGCGCCAATAAAAGTTCAGAGTCCTAAGTCATGGCATAACACAACTGCCCTGTTCACACTGCCCCTTCTCACCGTCTAGCAGACAAACAATTTGAATGTTGCCCTGTCATTACAACTATGGCCACCATCGCCTCCTCCAGCCAGGAAAGCAAAGGACCTGGTGTCAGGAGCAGGAGAAGCATCTGACACCTTCCTTATGTTGTCTGTCACATGCTGAAGATGCACCTCTTTATCTTGGCCTTTGACATTTGAGATATATACTTTAAGGACCATCCTATTCGCTTGACTGTAATTTGTTTCTAACTTATTTTAATATTGCATTTATAAATTGCTGTAACCCACCCTGGGACTTTATGGTGAAGGGTGGGTGAGAAATTGAATAAATAACAGCGAGATTATTCCATATTTTGGTACGCTTATACACAGGCATTAATACTAAAACCAGAGGAACAGCGGACAATACATTCAAAGTACAATGAGCTGTCTTTATGCATTTTTAGTTATTATTACATTTAGATCTCCCCGTTCCTTCAAGGGGTCAAGGTGACATAAATTTATTACCTTCTCTATGTTATCTTCACAGCAACCCTGTGAGGTAGGTTAGGCTGAGAGATAGCAACTGGCTCAAAATCACCCAGAGGGTTCCTGACTGAGTGAGCCTCCCCTGGTTTTACAGGTCCTAGTCCAACACACTAACCTCTATACCACACGGGCTGGATGCACAGCTCCAGTCTAAGGCAGGAGGAATAACAAGTTCCTCCACCCCTCGGAAATCGCTGAGGTGAGAAACCCCATAATGATGTTAAGATTTATTTCCTGAAAAGTAATAAATAGCCAATTTTGGACTCAACATTGTTTATATGTAGTTAGGGTTTAGGGATTCCCCACCATCACAAATGCACACACCAATATGCATCACTTTTGACTTATGAATGCTACTTTTTTTTTAATCCAAGACCTTATTCTTCCAACTAGGCAGTAGAGAACTTGGTTTTTAGACTTGACCAATCAGTTTCCATTCCTTAGATACTGACAAGAGGCAAATGATCTTCCACAAAGACCACTTAGTAGCAGAAGGCTGAGGTGCAGAGATGCTCTGCTGAGAGACTGAGGGTTTCCTTAAAGAAGGCAGCTCAGCCCAGCAAGAACCTAAGCCTTCTAAATCTGCATTTCTCCAATGCCAACCTCCTACCAAAGACCTCAGGAAACTTAGCAAAATTCACCTTCTGTGTGGGGCTCCTTCATACAGTGCTAAGTATCACTACCCACATTTGCACAGCTGAGGTAAAAAAAAAAAGCAGTAACGTAATTGAAAAAAACAGCAACAAAAGGCAATGAAAGAAAACAAGATGCTTCCAGTTCCATCAGCTCCTTACCTCCTCTTTTTCTGCACTCTCCAGATCCCTCCATTCTTCAATGGGCTGCCCCAGGTCCACCGTGTTCATGGGCACCTTGACTTCTCCAATGATGTCATGTTTGGAGAAACGGTCAAAGTCATAGATAGCCATCACCAACGTCTTGCCACCCAGCTCCTGATATGGAATCTGTTACACAGAACAGAGGACTGTGGTTCAATAACTGCTTTGGCACCCGGAAGAAACTCTCTTAAGAGGCTGTTGGAATAATCTTGCCCAATAATACATTTTGTTTCGATTGCCAGTAATTTCCCCCCATTTTTCTCCGAGCGACATTGGGTATTGCTCCCTGCAGTACTTCTTTCTTTCTCTCTGGGGGCTACCACAAATATGTCAGTGTGCAGTATATCCTCTGCAGAGGATGCCTAGGCCAACAGAAGTCTCACCTTGAAGACAAAGGTCTCATTGTAGGTTGGGTTAAGGGTCTTCTTTTGCACTTTGGTCTCAAACTTCTTTTTCTTGTCAGGAAGCAGGAAGACTTTGACGTAAGGGTCAGATGTGCCCCCCATGTCCAGTGCTGGGAGCTCAGCTGCTTGGAGGATCCCTACTGTGAGCTGTCAGGGAAAAATAGGTCTTAGGAAATGAAATGGCTTTGCAAGGCCACATGCCAAACAGCACAATGCATAGAGAAGGAAATTGGCCTCAGAACTAATATGAACTGTCACCTTCCTTCTGCTCTTGCTAGATGCCCTACGTTGTCCTTCTCTTTTGTGTTACACTCACAGGTGTTATTCTTCAATTCGCCTAGCAATACCATCTTATTTAGTTTAGTTTATTGCTATGATATATAAAATACATAACTGTACAGTGTAAACCGCCCTAGGAAGAAGGGCAGTATAGTAATTTAATAAGTGAAATAATGACGAAGAATGAAAAGCAGCAACTAACCATGTGTTCCTTTTTCATTATGCTTGCAATAAATACGGAGACTACCCTTCTGTAACATTGAAACAAACCATGATTCAGCCCAAACAAGCAGTCTCTGGGAGAGATTTCGGCCAGTCCTTCTGGTTGCTTTGCTGCTCTACCAAACTGAGCCAAGCCATGATTTCACTTAACATATCATCCAAACTTGTGTTTGTAGCTCAGCCTTGCCTGATAAACCATGAGCTACAAACCACAGGGCAAACTTCGGTTAAAGCTCATTATTTGTTGAGAAACCAAAACTGCAATCCAGGCTTGGATAAGATGCTAAGCCAAACCACATCTTTGACTAGTGCACCAGCAAAACAACCAGAGGAGCCAAGCAACTTCCATCATTTTTCTGGAGCTTACACATTTTGTCATGCTAAGCCATTATGTTTGGCTTAGCACCATGCACAAACTGGGCCTATAAATCCATTGGCCACTATGTCATGCCCATGAAGCTGATTATCCCATTGACCATCAAGAGATAGCCATTCTCATTACTTCTTACAAATAAAAGTATACCGGGAAAGTACCATTATTCCATCACCTGGTTTGTAAAAGAAAAAGAGCATAAAATTGCATGCCACTGTTTTTAAAGGAAAAGCAGTGTGTGGAGAGAGAATTTGGAATGCGAGAAGGGGATGTTTAATCTTTTCCTAACCTCAACTTCCCTGCTCCAAATAACTCTTCCTTCACACACACACAAGCTCCTTCACCTGGTACATTTGTGAGGGTAAAAATCAGCTTTAGGGGGGCCTGTAGTGGAAAAGATGTGGGCAGGGAAAGAGCAAAGCTTCTCTTTCACATATACTGCTTCTCAACAATACTGCCATCTCGCTGAAGCTGCTTTCCCTCAAAATCAAAATGGCACTGAGGCTCTCTGACATGTGTGGCTAAATAACACACAGCTACCGACTGTGTTAACTGCTTCTGCTATCATTGCTCTCCCTCTGGGTGACATCTCTCCAACAGCTTTGGGTGCATAGCCTTCCCCCTTCTCTCTCGCCCCACCTATTCATTTGGGTGCCTTACCTGGTTAGCCTGGAAGTCATAGTCTAGGGAGAACTGCAGCTTGCCCAGGTTCTCTGGTTCCTTCTCCTCTTCCTGTTCCCCCTCTCCTTCCCCTTCTTCTTCATCATCATCGTCATCATCCTGTTTGTCCTGGAAGAGAAGCGATACCATAATGTTTTGCACAGGAACACCACGCACTGAGAACCTAGTTCCCCTTCACACATGCGTATCCTTTCTCCCATATCTTGCCTAAGCACTGAAATGCATGTACATAATCTATAAAGCGTTACTTCAGGAGTAGGAAAAGGAGAGTTGGCGAAAGGGGAGCCTAAGGTTCCTTATCAGTATTTTGCTCATAATTTTGGGTCTCTCTCTGACTTCAGTCATCACCACACAGGCTGGGCACATGTTTATTCCAGTCACGACAAAGAGTTAAAAATTTCTAGATACCCTAAATGATGGAATCATTGAAAAGTTGGGTAGAGGGGTGACGGTCCTGGACTTAATCTTAAGTGGTGCCCAGAACCTGGTACAAGATATAAGGGTTGTTAGACCAGATAGTAACAGTAACCGTAGTGGTGAAAAAGTCAACACGTATGTCAGTGGGCAAAGCCCAACTTTGAAGGAGGAAATTTCCCCAAAATGAGGGGATTGGTAAAAAGGGAAGTTGAAAGGGAAAGTCAAGAGGCGTCAAAACTATCTAAAATTCTTGGGAGTAGGGATTGTTCAAAACTAGAAGCTCAGCTAGACTGCATACAGATCAGGAAAGATGCCCCCGGAGCAAAGAGGAAGCCAGCAGAGTCAAGGAAGCTATCCAAAAGGCTTCCTTCAGAAAATAGAAGCCTTCGCCAAAGGAAGAGAACAAAAAGGAACATGAATTTTGGCAAAAGAAACGAAGGCAGATGGTGGCCTGGTTCACATGTCACAATAAGCCAAACCATGGCTTGATGTGAAGGTGTGAACATGTCGAGCTCACAACCACTTTCCTTCTCCCTGGTCCTTCTCGCTCCCTGCTGAGGTTTGGCATTATGTGGCACCTGCAGTAGTGCCAATCCAGTAGCACCTGGATTTGATGCATTTAAAATTGCACTTTGTTAGTAATGGTTTTGTTCTGTTTTATGTGGTGTTTTTATTGCATATTTTTATTTATCTGTATATTGCCTTGGAGGGATTAATGAATTAATCATCATAATCTACTACAGAGATTATAGGCCTGAGGCCATCCAAATGTTGATGAACTCACATCAATCCCAGACAATGGTCAGGGATGAGAGATGAGAGTCCCGCTTTATCTGGAGAGCCACAGGTCTACTGGATAGCAGATTTAGTGAAAGGAAGAGACAGAACCCACCGCTCAGTTACGACTATTGTTAATTGCACTTTAAACTAACCTTGGGCTATTGTGGCCAGTGAAGTTTACTCTGGTTTGTAAACGGTTTCTGTTGTTTCTGTTGCAAATAAAAGTCTATTTTTTGGATGCCTGAAATTTCTTAGTGTTGATTTTTATTATTACATGCTGTATTTAATATTGATTTGCTTGTAAGCTGCCCAGTCTATATATTGATAAGCTGCTACATAAATTTAACACCTCAGTAATCTTCTGCATAAATGCTGAATGCTCTGACTTTCAGAATATAAAGATTAGATTTCTGGCAACTGTGAACTCTGAGAGATTTCAAGGAGAACAGTGTAAGCAATGGAACTGTTGTTATCTGGTTTGTGTACAAAGGGGACCAATCTATGGCAAGAGGATTATGGGAAGTGGGGTTGCCATGATGCAGCAGGGGGAGGAGCCTGGCTGTTCAGCAGCTTTAATGAGAGGGTGGCTGGGGTTCACTAAGGGATTGGTGCCTAGGAAATGAAACAGGGGCTTCACCTAAATCCAATGTTCTCCTTTTGTACCTTGCATAAAACAAATGGGACTGGAACACTCACACATTTGTATGCATGCATACATACCCTCAATGTACATGTTATTCGTTCAAGCAATTCACGTATTTAAAACGAAATACATTGATCTAACTTGGTCAAATGTACTGTATATTTTCAAACTAGTTCCTTCCCCACAAAATTCTTGAAAACACAATCAGGTCACCGACACATGCAAATTCATTCAGAGTTTCATTTCACCTTGTGGAGTTTATCCACACACTTTCTTGTCCCACTGCTTCCCCCCCTGACCTTTACTGCTTAATCAGAGCAAACTGCAATTAACACAAAACAGACTTTGCACTCAACCTCATTTACAACTGGGTAGATTTGCAGGAATTTAATGTCCCCTTAACCAAAATTTGTAAGAAAAATTTGTTTACCTTCCCCAGTATAAGTCCCATATCACAATTAACTCCACCATCTTAACAAAGCCTGCGCAGAACTTTGAACTGTGTGTTAGTTAAACCCTCTTCCCTTGTCCCTTTAAGCCTAAAAGGGAAGCGACGTTTGCATCAGGACCTACCGTGAGTTGACATCCAGGTTAGTCAGATAAGATGGAGACAGAACAACACAGAAGGAGAGCAACGAGAGCACAGAGAAGGAAGAGAAGGGCATTATAGAGACAAAAACTGCACACATCATCAACAACACCTAGTGCTCCTGAGAAACCACAGACTCCATACCTTCAAAATGTATGCTGTATGGGGGATTGGGTAATTACAATTTCAAGAAACCATTTTGGGGGTGGGGTGAAGGACTAACCATGCATTACATTAAGCTAGTTGCTTCAGTTTGAAAGAAAAGCATCTGTGTGGGAAGCTGACTCAGATCATGTTTCTGATCCAAATTGGGACCATGCACCAATTTCCCACTGGAAGTCACACCCCTGGTTGTAATTTCCCACTGCAGGTCTTGTTTGCTGAAAACTGCATGGGCCCTCAAACTGGACTGGGAGCTTTTCCTTCAAAACGGAAGTTGCCATTCTGGGGTTGCTTCTTTTTTTAAAAAAAGGGGGTGTGCATTTTGTCCCTTGTAACACAGCTGTATCTGCACTCATGTTCATTTTGCTTAGAAGGGTGCAAACAATGTAATTTGCCACTGTGTGTTTTGAACCAGCCAATTTCTTCTCCCCACTTTATTGTAAATTGTCTCACAAAACTGAATGAAGGTAACTACTGGACCTGGATTTCTCTGGAACCTGAAAAGCACAGAAGTACATAGGGGAAAAGAGAAAGACAGAGAGAAAGAGAAAACATGATTTTCTATGCACATTAGTAACTTAGGGACTGCATATTTGCCTCTGCTTCTAGAACAACAACAAAGAACAAAAAATAAAATGCAAAGAAAAGACACATAGCTGTTGTAATGATCCTGCTAAGAGGGTGCGGTCTAGTGCTTCCAGAGACTTATAGACAGGAAAAGCTCCAATACTGTCTGTTGCTATTGACATTCATCCTCTGTTTGAAGCAGAAGATATACAGTCACTGGCCTGGTTTGCATAAACTATGGCTTAGCCCAAATGTGGGAACTATTGTAAAGATAGTTACACTCATTGACACTTTGCTCTTCCCCAGGCATTTTGCTGGTGCACCAGGACTCATGGTTTAACTATCTCCAGACTAATCATGAATGGTAACCAAGGCTTGTCCTATGGCTTATGGCTCATGGTTCATTTGGGGAGCAGCAAAATAACCCAGGGAGGAGTGAAGCACTTGCACTGTCCTCTCCAGAAGACCATGCAATCACACTAACCCATGATTTGCCTTAGTGTGATGTGCAAACCACGCCACTGAGTTCTGCACAACAGAGTTCAGTTCCCCCAGCGCAATGACAGCTACACATTTGTGACTGGTGTAGCTCAGCTAGAAGATATGTAGGAAAATCTTATGTTGTACCCATTTAGTAAATGGCTGTTACTATGACCAGAGACTTGGGGCAGATTTCTGCATCGAACGCATTCCACAGAACTTTTCCTTTTTACGTTATCCTTACACAAGTTATCCTACTTGCTAGGGAAGCATTTTTCCAGAGGTTTTTATGTCTCAATTAACTGATGCATCTAGGCATTCCACATTAACATCTAATCTATCCTTCCTGTCTGAAAATCCTGAATACTGCAATTAATATTTGCTCAAACATTTGCTCAAGTTAATCAGCAATGGGAAACCCCAATTTAATAAAATCAGAGGATTACAGAATAGTTGAATTCCAGTGGTGATGGTTGCGCTCAGTTGCTGCTTGTGGGTTTCCCACAGGCATCTGGTTGGCCAATGTAAGAACATGATGCTGGACGAGACGGGCCACTGGCGTGATCCAGCAGGCTCTGTTGCAATAGTTTCCGTAACTACCGAGTACAATCCCAGGACGGAGCATGCATGTATTAATAAGGTGGAAAGAACCACGCATGTCCAATAGTTTCCCTAACTACCGAGTACAATCCCAGGATGGAGCATGCATGTATTAATAAGGTGGAAAGAACCACGCATGTCCAATAGTTTCCCTAACTACCGAGTACAATCCCAGGATGGAGCATGCATGTATTAATAAGGTGGAAAGAACCACGCAAGTCCATCGCCCCACCCCACCCTGGAATACACTTGGCTTTGCATTAGGCAATGTGGTTACACTAATGGCACGCCCATTAGTGGTTACACTGGGAAGTTACACAATAATGAAGCTAGCAGGGAAGGCATAGTTGCCTTGCCATGAGTAAGGAGCCTTAGAGCTGAGACTGACTGCTAGCCTTCCATGGTCAGAGGCAGTAATGCTCAGGAATACCAGTTGCTGGAAACCTCAGAAGAGACCATGCTCTTGCCCCTGGGTGGCCACTGTGAGAACAGGCTGTTGGATCTGATGGACTATTGGCTTAGATCCAATAGGCTCTTCTGGTGTTCTTAACCTAGAAAACATGTCCAGGTCTTGTGGGAAGTGAGAGGGAGGAAGGTGACTGCTCTGTCCCATGTTCAGGATGCACATCCTCCTTCTGCGTATGATGTCCAAAAGCAAGAGGAGTCGTTCAGCTTCCCATCATTCCTTTCAAATGTCTGAAGTGGGCTAGGTACCAGGCTAAAATGATGAATGTCAACCTTTCACTTGGGACTCTAAATGATGCACAAAACCACCAGATCACTTCTATTAGGAAGGCAATTTATACCTGGTCAGATTATTTCCCCATCTATCCTAGTCCCTTGCCTGACAGCAGCTCTCCAATGTCTCAGACAGATATCTTTCTCATTGTCTGCTACCCAATCCTTTTTTTTAAGCGAACATGCTGGGGATCAAACCTGGGATGTTCTACATGCAAAGCATGCACACTCTTTTACTGAGCTATGTCCTTTCCATTATTCCAGACTGCCTAGTTGCAAGGAAGTGGGTGTTGTCTTAGTAATTTGTTATCTTGGTTTTGCATACATTTTCTGGGTCCTGCTACCAACAATGCTGAAATGCCTCAAGGAATTTAACTGTTTAGTCTTGGCCCAGCTTTCCTCATTTTCCAGTGTCTCTGGAACTACAACCAGTTAATGACATCCAAATCTTCCACTGTTGGATTTGGCAAGAGAAGTGACTCAAGGCAGAGAATCATGAGGAAAGCTTTGTGACATCTCTTCTCCATCCTCCCTTCATTACATGCAGAATCTCAGCACACAGCAGAGGGATCTGGATGACTAGGCACCTCTGGGCTGTGCTTCATTAAAGCACCTCATGCAAATAGCCTCATTAACAGAGAGAGAAAGAGTTCCAGCAATATGGGCTATAAAAGTCCCATTTCTGAGCCTGCTACCCAAGTTACCAAATCAAAAGTCTCCAATATGGGAGAAGAATTTAGTGCCCATAAAACCTTCCAGAGTTTCACAGGTTTGTCTATCTTTAACTGCTAATGGGATTTGCTGCTGAGTTAGTTTGATTGCTGCCAGCAAAGCAAACATTATAACCCTGAGCAGTAAGACGGGGGGGGGGGGAATTGGTGTGATGGTGGCATCAGGTGGGACGCTGCACCAGACACTTTTATGAGCTGGGATTTATTGACTGATTTGTACACAATACTTCCTGGGAGCAACACCCTTTCAGATCCTCTAGTGCTTTTGTGGCCTTTAATATTTTTCATCTGCAGGTACTAGGCAAGAGAAGTCACCATCCTACCTTCCATTGACTTCTAGTGCATTGCAGGCTGTAGATAAGGCTCACAGGAAAATCTACTACAAAATACTATAATGCTGATAGAACCATAATCTGCTTAACTTCCCCCTTTTAAACAGAATATTATCCACTACTCTAAGTCTTGCGTAGCTCCCATTCACGTCCAGTAGGGTTTGCCCAACAGAACTTCCTAGAAAAGCTGGAATATACATTATAACTAAGGGTCTGCCCATCAAAAACATACTCACATGAGAAGCATAATGCTTTTTGCTTTTTTTTTACCATCCAGCATATATATATTTTTTATGCACCAGAAAGGCTGGATATCTTGATCCTGAGGTCTTCTGTTTGATGCAGGTAAGTCTTCATAGCATTTACTTACCAAAGAGGAACTCTGTGAGCTTTACTTCTACACAGACAGGTTTTAGGGATGGGTTGCAAACTACCCTGACTAATACCAAGGCTTGCATTTTGATGGTCAATCTTTTATCTTAAGGCTTCTGCTGCTACAAGCAATGAAGGGACAATTTCAAATCTCACTGCTGGCCCTACCTGGTTGGGGCTCGCATGCACTCCCTGCATAAAAAAGAACTGAACTCTTTGCTTGTACATCTGATTTTCATCCCGCCAAAAGCACAAGCAAGTCCACACCGCATCATGCTAACTGCAGCATCATAACCGATCCTCTCCCAGGAGGTGTCATTTTACCTGGCCTTTCATGTCTTTCATGTTCATTGCGTTTTTCATCCCCTTTTTGTCCTTCTTGTTCTTCTTCTTCTTGCAGCAGCATTTCTTGCAGATGCAAAAGCAACAGGTGAGGATCAGCAGCCCAGCAACTACAGCAATGGCAATCAGGGCCCAAGGCGGCACTGAAAATACAAAACACTCTCATTGCACAGTTATAGCGGAATTTACTGGGATGGCCGAGTGCCTGAAATGCAAGCATAGGTCACACTACTCAAAACCCAGGAAATTTATTTAGTTATTCCATGGATAATTAACTTGTACCCTGATTGTTGGGTCCAGGGTTCCAACCAGCACCACTTCTAAAGTCACCTCCATTTTAAATTTTTTTTTAAAAAAGCATAAAACTAAAAGTAATAATTTGCAATGCTTGCTGAAATGCACGACCTTTTGCTGCATGCCGACAGGCATTCCATTATTTAGATGCCATGACTTAAAAGACACCATCCCTACCTGCTGCACTTTTGACCGTGGGTTTTCAGATGTTGACCTGAATACAGGGGCAGCCCTATGCAGCAATGACCATTCCTATCCTATGAAAATGCTATGTATAGAACATTTCCTGTCAACAATTCTGTCATGAGTCTTCTCCTTCCAGGTGGCTTCTTAAATGCTAAAAATCAATATGCTTTCCATTAAATATAGAGTGTAATTTCTCTCTCTTTCTCTTTTTTAAAAACACAATTATTTTCTTCGTCTCTTTCCTTCTGCAACCCACACATATTTTTCAATAAAGCTCTTTTTTTAAAGCAGAAAACCATTCAGTAATGTTCCTGAATAAGGTTGACTAAGTCAGGGATGAGGAACTTGTGGTTCTCCAGATGCTGTTAAGACTCCAGTTCCTGTCATCCGCAGCCAACATGGTCAATGGTCATGAATGATAGGAATTGCAGTCCAACAATACCTAGAGCAAGCGTGGGGAACTGGATCTGGTCTGAGGGCCAGAACATCATCTCCTCAACCCCCAGTGGGCCAAACTTGACCTCTCCAACACCTGATGTTGCAATGACATCAGGTGCCCATTTTAACCCTTGTGTTCAGCCCACAAAGCACCTACAACATTGCAAAGCCAGAGATTTCCCAATGTTGATTTAGAAGGCCGCATGTTCCCTATCCTTGGCTTAAACACTTTGGCTTGTACCACAATAATGTCCTGAGTATACGTCATTGTCATTTATCCCACAAGTAGTTAATTGCCCACAAGTAGTCTTTTGCCAAGAGGGAATTCAGGCTTGGTGCCAGTCCAGTCCTTTGCATTCTACAAACAGGTTTAGAAACTGCAGTGATGGAGCAAGCAGAACATTTCTGCAAAGTCTCCAAAAAAGGGGCAGCATATGCAAGCTACTTACAGGGAATCTTGTTTATCTCGTTCATGAACTTTTCTTTAATCTTGGCAAAGACATCCTCCTGGCTCTCTACTGGGCCTGAAGGCTGTGTCGTGTTGTCCATTGACACTGCTGGTGCCACTGTTGTGGTAGGGATATGGGGTGCCGCAGTGCCTGGGGTAACAGCTATGATGGGCTCCGGCTGGGGCTTCTTCTTGAAGAGGTTCCAAGTCATCTTGGCTACTCTTGAGGGTCACTGAAAAAATATAGGCACAATGATAGTTGCTCTACACTATTTGACAGAGTACTAAAAACGACACTGAGAAACAGCTTCTTACATATGATGAAGTAGGCATGGAAGCATTCGTTTATTTCAGTTCATTTTTTTTAAAAAATAGATTATTAAAACTGCACTCTTATAACCTTATGAAGGCCCAATGCCCAATGAAGCATGCCAAAACAAGTGCTCCTTAATAATGAAGCAGCCAAACATGTTCCAACTCTGAATCTTCTTCACTAGCCACATATTTATAATTAGATAAAATGAACACAATTAGTTGTGGTTAGTACCTCATGCATCTAGTGGCATAGTCCTAATTCTACCACTTGCACTTAGGTTTTGCAGTCAAAAAGCATCATTAATAGACTGAGAACAAGCCATATCCAAGTGCCTTAAATCCTGCATGAACATGACTACAAATGGAAATCTTCACATGCATTCCTTAAGGTTTCCATTTGTAGTCATGTTCATGCAGGATTTAAGGTACTTGGATATGACTTGTTCTCAGTCTATTAATGATGCTTTTTGACTGCAAAACCTAAGTGCAAGTGGTAGAAGCACGGCAGGCTCTGCTAGAGTAGCTGAAGGACTGGAGATCTCATGCAAGGAATTCTTGCCTATTAGAACTCAGGTAACACAGAACCCTAGCAATGGCATTGCAGAAATGTTGTGTATCCTCAATGAACAGAAATGCCAGGTGTATTTTTCATCCTGGACCATGTTCTTCTGTTCTAATTTATCTTCCTCACTTTCTCTGCTTTCATGTGCCATTCTCTTTCATGGCAATGTTGGCACTGCATCAGAACTGATCACTTGACCATCAGAGTTTCAGCACTTGATTCTGGCTGGCTCACCTCTAAGTGGTATTTAAACAGTGCAACTGTAGGCATGTTTACTCAGAAGAAAGTCCCATTAAGTTCAATGGGGCCTGCTATCCAGAATAGCCTTGCAACCTAAAAAAGTGGCCATTTTCCAACTGTATGTATTCATTCATTATAAATTTAAAGGGGAATGTATCTACACACAGCAAGAACTAGGGTGACTATCTGGGCAACGCCCAAAAAGAGGTCAAAGATTTGCATGGGATTTGTACATACAAATTGATAGTCATAGATGCAAATTTAGAAATAATTACCACAATACACCTCACAATTGTGGGGAAGAGTGATCAGGCACCTTTTCAGTCTACTGTCTAGATGCTAAATGCCGGTGGGCAACTTGAAGGATACTGCAGAGATCATTCAGTCAGGGGAAGCATTTCAGCCTGCCAGAAGGAATGATCCCCTTTCCTCTCCTTGCATGCCATTCTGGGGATTCGCCTGATCTCCCTGCAGAGCCAATTTCAGGAGGTGTATGGGCAGAGGAGAATGGGGAAAGCCCCAAAGCACAAGTGGAAGTTCTTGCACTGGGCATCTCTTGTCAGGACACTTTAGTTGGATCCTACCCCCAATTTTTAATCTGGACTTGGACCAGACAGTTCTTCAGGTGATGGTCCTTTGTGAAGTCAGATACATAGCAACCCTAAGAACAGCAAGACCAGGTCAAAACTGGCAGTGGCAGCAGCAGCAGCAGCAGCAACCCCACTTAGTGATATATAAATGTTGTTAGATGAATATATACAGTGGTGCCCCGCAAGACGAAATTAATCCGTTCCGCGAGAGTCTTCGTCTAGCGGTTTTTTCGTCTTGCAAAGCAACCCTATTAGCGGCTTAACGGATTAGCGCTATTAGCGGTTTAGCGGCTATTAAAGGCTTAAAGGCTTAGCGGATTAGCTGCTAAAAGGCTATTAAAGGCTATTAAAGGCTTAGCAGATTAGATAAAGGGGCGAAAAGCGAAAAAAATCTCAAGACTTGCAAGACATTTTCGCCTTGCGAAGCAAGCCCATCGCGAAATTCGTCCTGCGAAGCAACTCAAAAACGGAAAACCCTTTCGTCTAGCGGGTTTTCCATCTTGCGAGGCATTTGTCTTGCGGGGCACCACTGTAATGTGACATGCTTACTCACCTCACAAGACCTGAGTTTTTCTTTTTACATTATTATTATTTTGTTTTAATGTAAGTTGTTTGGGGTCACTTTTGTAAGGAAAATGACATTATTATTATTATTATTATTATTATTATTATTATTCTACCCTTCCTTCCAAAGGAGCCCAGGGCTATGTGGTCATCTTGCCAGTTTCTCAAAGAGTCTCAACAGTCTTTAAAATGAAGTGGATACATTCTGAAGGGCATTCCATGGTGAATGTTAATATGATGCATATTAGAGGTCAAAGCAGATTCTTCCTCTTGATAATCTGAGTTCTCTTTCCCCTGTTCCACTGAAGCATCAGAGAAGGCCACAGTTAGATACAAGATGCTAGAAGGGGTAGGCTATTGCTGAGAAACAAAGAACAAATTGATAATGCAGGGTGCACACAGCTAAATAACAGGTAGGTAGCCGCGTTGGTCTGCCGTAGCCGAAACAAAATAAAAAAAATTCCTTCCAGTAGCACCTTAGAGACCAACTAAGTTTGTTATTGGTATGAACTTTTGTGTGCATGCATACTATGCACCAACTTAGTTGGTCTCTAAGGTGCTACTGGAAGGAATTTTTTTAAATTTTGTTTTGACTGCTAAAGAAGTTTCTTTAAAACCCACTGCAAATTGTTTTTTCCTCTCATGTTTGGAGCATAACCAACCACCATGTTTGGCATTGGAAAGATGTCCTCCCAACTAAAACCAGATTTTCCGGTCATTTTTCTTTTTGTTAAAAAAAAAGAGGAGAAAGAAGAAAGAAGCTTCCATGCAATTCATTCCTTGCGCAGGATGAAGCGGCAATTTAATATGTAATATGAGTCAGAGGGAAGAAGACGCTATACCCTCCCTTTGCCCAGGCTTCCCTGCATCCCTGATACTATTTTTAATTTCTTGCACAGTGGGGAGAGGGATGTCAGCTTCCTTCTCCTGCCTGGCCATAATTAACTTCAAATCACATCCTTCCACCCTCACATCTAGTTGGTGCCTAAAAGGCTGCACAATCTCGACTCTGTCCCGCTCGCAAATCCCCTCGTCTCCTGAACCTGTCATTTCACTTTTTCACGTAAGAGGAGGCCTGCATATTTATGAGTCAATATTTATGGCTGACTGGTAAACAATGAGAGCGCCTGTGGGCAAGCATCTCATTTTTGCTCTTTGGCGTCTCTTAACTGATTAATGCCAGTACGATAGCCAGCCACTGGTACGTGAGAGCCTCTGTAGACCAAGTGTAATAGATTATTTCCCCCGTGTAATAATTTAACATTTGAGAGCAGAGGGAGTTGGGGAGACAGAAGACGAAGAATGAGGAGATGGAGGGAGGGGGGGTGGAGGCGAAGTTAGAGAGTCATTTCTGAAAAAGCCAATCTGCCACTTTTCATGGCAATGAGTGAGTCAATCTCTCCTTTTTCTGCTTCTTCTCCATTGTTAACATGGTATATTTCAAGCCTCCATCAATCAGGAACGGGGTGGGGGCTATTTAACAATCGTGCTTCAACGTAAATGACAGCTTCTTAGGGCTATAAAAGAAATGGAAGGGGAGGAGGGAAAGGAGGGAGGTGAGCACCTATCCATCAGGCCCAATCTGTTGATGGAGAAAAACAACAACACAAGCTAACAGATGCTCTTCAGCAGCTATTGGACACAATTCGGGAAAGCAATGCCAGGAGGAAAGCTGCCCTTTTAAATTTCTTAAATTACACAAATGTCAACAGCAAAGTACAGATTGTGGAGGTGGCTGAGAGTAGCAAAGGCCTTGATCAGTGGAGTCAAACAGGAAAATGCAAAGCAATACTCATATAGATCCTGCGCAACTGATTTAAATTGTGCAAACAGCCTTATATATATATATACACATATGAAGATGTGTTATTAAAATAAAAGTCATCTAATGTCCTTCTTTGGACGTGGTTGGGGCAGGGAAGGATCAGACCCATACATCTTTCTTACCTTTGCTACTGAAGTGGCTAATGAATTGGAGACAATTGACCCAAACTAGCCCCACCCACCTCAGTTCTACTTTATACACTGAAACATGCAAACACCAATCCAGAGTAAATTGATAATTCACAGAATAGGTTGATATTCTCTTTAGGAGATAGGACTGCAGTGGCAATTCCCTTCCATGAGTGCTCCAACTCCACTTCCTGTGCTTGCTGTTGCATAATCAGTCCCCTGTTCTTTTTAATGTCCAGGAAAAAAACCCCATACAGTTGCCATCTTGGAATCAAATTATACAAGACAATGGAAGACCTGTGGTCAGACTGCCCCCCACCCATCATGGTTTTCTTCAGTGCTGGACAGCAGGTCAAAGTTGGCTGTAGTCACAAGGCTGGGATTGGAGAGGGTTTAACCTTCCAACATGGCCCCCACTCTTAATCCTGTCTAACCCCTAAAGCTGCTACAGGGTGGAGCTATTAGCCCTTCACTGCTCTGTCCCTTAACAGAGCTCCTTTTTTAAAAAAGTTATCATAGAACTCCTCTATCTCATCTAGTTCAGCACTTATTTTCAGATCCACAAAACTGGATCTAAGGTCTCCCATCTTGGTTCAGAATCAGAGCTGATTTAGCAACTTATTGTTAAAAGAGCAGAAAGAGGCCATTTTAAAAGAACTGGCCAACAAAAAAATAATATGTCCTGCTTTTCAAAGCCTTTAGAATCACTACTCCTGTTGCAAATTTTAAAAGGTGACCTCGAAATTCCTGACAAGAGCTTAAGTTCTTCACCTTTGTCCTACACAGTGCTTTGGAGTGTTTCAAATGCTCAGAGCCCTTCTTCCCACATTCAGGCCTGTGAAACCTCTATGCCAGGGCTGAGGAAAGGTTTAGGAAAAGGTAAAAAGGTAATGGACCCCTGGATGGTTAAGTCCAATCAAATTTGCCTGTGGGGTGCAGCACTCATCTCCACTTTCAAGCCTAGGGTGCTGGCTTTTTTCCGCAGACAGCTTTTCCGGGTCATGTGGCCAGCATGACTAAACTGCTTCTGGCTCATGAAGCACTGTGAAGAATGCTAGAGCACATAGAAACGCATATTACCTTCCCGCCACAACGGTACCTATTTATCTACTTGTTCTGGTATGCTTTCGAACTGCTAGGTTGACAGGAGCTGGGACAGAGCAATGGGAGCTCACTCCTTTGCACAGATTCTAATCGTTGACCTTTTGATTAGCAAACCCAAGATGCTCGGTGGTTTAGACCATAGCACCATCCGCATCCCCTGTAGCCTTAACAGCATGCCAGTTTGCATTATAATAAGTGTGTGAGAGTCATTCATTTCCAGAAACTGAGAGAAGATTCTTGAAGATTCTCAAAGCATCACAGTGCAAGATTACAGGCTGCTGTAGACTAAACAAAGCCACTTCAAAATACTATATATCATATACCACATCTCACAAAATATACAAGTAGCTGCAACTTGTTATATGTATCAGAGTCAAGCAAAGATTCAAACAAACAATGAATAGCGAGGAACGCTGAAGTGACTTATTAGTATATTTTGAATGACATTCTACCGATTATATATTTACTAACAGTTATTAGCCAGCATGTTGTGTTTGCATTTTTGTAGATTGTCACATTTTGCAACACAGGGGTTTGTGGTTGTAGACTAAACAAATAGCTGTGGAGCTCTTAACTATGGACATGCGCAATTCTTATAGGGGAGAGACTGCAAGCTCTGTCTGTGCAGTCAGGCCTGAGCTTTATACAGGAAACATGCAGGGGTGAAGTGTGCCTTGCTATCTGTGTGGTAGTAAAGTTGTAAATAGTCTTCTACCAACATGATTGTTTATTGCCTTTCAAGTAAACAATGCTTGACTGAGTTTCATTGCTTCCATGAGTGATTTATTGCCATCGTCTATGCGCAACTTGATCCTTCGACATGATGCTGTGCGATTGCTACTCTGCTAACTAGCACACACGTAAGGAAACGTGCTGGACCACCCTCATGGTTTACGACTGGAGATGGTAAAATCTTCTACGGTTTGTTCCCTACTCCGTGGTTTGCTTAACATCCACCGTGATGGAGAATTTGCTCTTTTGTCACTTTTTGGTTGGTTCTAATAAAGATATTGCTGTGCTTCAGATTCTGGATCCTGTCTCCACCTCCCCAAGGATCACCACAGATGTCTGACCTTTTTCAACCATTAAATGGTTGCATTAGCTGCATGTGGCTTTCTACATACCTCTGCAGCCACTGAACTCTGCCTAGAAACAGCAGCAAGTCCAAATTCCTGCAAGTGTTCTCCAAATAGCTAAATTCACAATTGCAAAAATATGTAGGGCACTCAGGAGGAAAGTGCAGTGTCAGTTAGAGAGTTGTAAGGAATAGATAAGGGCAGCAAGCATGGTGAATGAATTAACAGTGCCTGTCGTTGCAGTTAAGGAGAAATGAGAAGGGCTTTTATGTATTTGCCTCAGAAGAAAAGGACAGCAAAACCATTAATAACTTGGGGGAGAAATAAAACGGGCCATTTAAAAATTGCCAAGATACTGAACTTCCCCAAATCTCCCTCAATGAAGAAATAAGTAAGTTTGGAAGATGGGATCAGTGGCACCACAGTCTAGGATGTTTATATCCTTGGTGTGTGTTAGGGGGAAGCTTTGGAGAAAAATTAACCTTATTGGCACTGCTGTTGGTTTCATTTAAAAAGCAAATGTCAAGTTCTTCTCCACGTCCCAGAGAATTAAACACAGGTCTGAAACAGAAGATTAAAAATGCTAAACAAACAAATAGAACAAACAATCCTTCACAAGTATTATAGCTTTGGGATGATCCAATCTATGGATTTCTGCAGTGTGCAGGCTTCCCACTTCTTGAGCAGTGAGAATTCCAAGGGCAGCATTCATTAGGGTCTGACTTCCTTTGGAGAAGACAGATCTATGGTGTTTTTGTATGATTTGGTTCATTTGCAGACATACAAGTAGAGCACAGGTGGAGGAAAACAGCATGAGCATTCCTAGCATGCAACAGTTCTGCTACCCTACATGTAAAAGGTAAAGGTACCCCTGACCATTAGGTCCAGTCGTGGACGACTCTGGGGTTGCAGCGCTCATCTCGCTCTATAGGCCGAGGGAGCCGGCGTTTGTCCACAGACAGCTTCTGGGTCATATGGCCAGCATGACTAAGCTGCTTCTGGAGAACCAGAGCAGCGCACGGAAATGCCGTTTACCTTCCCACCGGAGTGGTACCTATTTATCTACTTGCACTTGGCGTGCTTTTGAACTGCTAGGTGGGCAGGATCTGGGACTGAACAATGGGAGCTCACCCCGTCACAGGGATTTGAACCGCCGATCTTCTGATCGGCAAGCCCTAGGCTCTGTGGTTTAGACCATGGCGCCACCCACGTCCCCTACATGAGACCACCCCAATATCCTTTCAGTCTTCTACTCAAACTTCTCTGGCTGTCACTCTCTGTCTCTCTTTCAAAACCACAGCCTCCCACTAATTTGGGCTCCCATTAAGAATACAGTAACCATTCTGAGCTAGTAATAACTAGTAATCTGCTTAAGAAAAAGAGATGGCCAGCAAGACTTCCTAACAAGATGACTACTGGACCAGACAAGCCTTGAT